AGAATCGCTACTGAAGACATGGTAACAAAGTTGATTTTTAAGGCAGTTTACTCTAAGTTGGTGAATAAATTCTTAATAATTTTACATACAAATAGGCGATAACATATTTTATTGATTATTATACAAAATGCCACTATCTATTTATATTTTAAATATGTATATTGTTAAAAATGCAAATGAAAAACTTAACCGAATATATACAACTTCATCGAGAGGAAAAAAGTTAATATCTTAGCATATTAAACAGCAGCATGAAATTTACTGTTTTTGTTTTAATTTTTTTTGTTAATATACTGAAGACTGAATCAAATTTTTCAACAGTGTTACTATATTTTCCACTGCGTTACTGTTTTGTCACAAAAAAAATCAAAAAAAAATATTGTTTTAAACTTTTTTCTTCAAATTTAAGCTCTTAATTTTTTTGTTATGGACATTTTTAGAATAAAAAATTAATTTCTAAAGCAGTTATGTAAAAATTCCTGCAAGAAAAAAACTATTAAATAGTTTTATTTTAAAAATAAAAACTTTAAATTTAAAATTAGTAACACAGTTGAAATAACTTATAATTTATTTTTTTATAAAAATGATTTTTCAATATTACAGAATAAATTTATTTATAACTTTAATTACAAATGAGAGTAAAATATGAAAATAATAATTTCCATTGAAGAGATCGAAAAATTTAAGATATTTTTATCGGTAACGTAGTTGAACTAAATTCAAACCTGAGCTTACTTTTTTGGTTATAATTTCTAAAATATTTACAAAACCTCCGGACCACTTGAGGAGATTGTACATTATATATTAGGCAACTATAAAAAAATTATTTTAATAAAAAATTCTAAAAAAATAATTTGGAAAAAAAAAATTCATTTGTGCAAACTTTTAAATTTTGACCCATGTATATAACATACGACAAAATTTGTGGAACATTTTCCATTGTGTTCGTAACGAAGAATGTCTTGAAAGAATGCCAACTGGAAATAAATAGTCTAATATCGAATCGAATATAAGCAATTATCAATATTTTATAATTGGAATAATGATTTTGAAAATTTATTACGGAAACTCAAAATTTGTGCTTAATAAAAAATGGTATAAGTACCAAGAAAAAATAATATAATAAAAACATCGCAAAAGTCGTTATTCGTCAATAACTTCGTAAATCTTCGTAATAAAGTAAAATTTTCGCAAAAATTAAACGAGATTGTTTCGAATTTTGAATTTTAAGAAAAATTTTTTCTTACAATTCCATTTAAAAATAACGAATTTGGGAATTTTGTTATTTGCTTTAAGATTGTCGTTCTCGTTCCTTTAACAGCAATTGCGTATTCATTTAAACTACACGTATGTATTTATTTATATACATACATATGTAATATCTTCGACTAGACTTCTTTATCAGTGTATTTGAAATGAAAAAAAAAAACAATTCTTAGGATTAAATTTTTTAAGATATCACAAAAATAAGTACTTAAAGTATAAAATCTCTAGGATTGGAGAAACATACTTAGCAATTCTGCATTTTTATTACCATTTCTTTTCGAAGAAAAGTACTTACACATTCATGGTGAAACCATTTTGTATATTAAAAATGAATTTTCTTTTGGTTATTGTTATTTTTTTTTACATTTTACATTTAAATTAAAAATTTTTATATTTTTATAGTTTTGTTTTGTGATTTTAAAAAAGGTTTCTCATTATTTTTACTTTCTGCTGTAGTGCTTGCTATTCCATTAAAGAGGGTCAAGGTTATTATTGACTCTCTTAATGTTTATTTTTATATAAGCATATATATATATGTATGTACATCTGCATGTATGTAAGATAGAATAGGATGAGTGTTTTACAAGTACCGGTTCTTACTTCTTATACCTACTAATAGACGCTCTCTTATTTTATTGCGTTCAAATTTCAGTTTGCTTAGTTTAACGTATTGTGTTTTGTGTTATTTTTATTTTGTGAGAATTTCTTTTGAAATACCTACAAGAAATATTTTGAAATTTTCATATTTGAGTAATAATAACAAAATAACAATAATAAACATTAGATGAAGGGAATCTCTTATGAAAAATTTCCCTTTTTTCTTTTTTTACAAAAATTTTCGTTCCTCAAAATGTAACTTAATTTTGCACGTGCAGGTATACGTATACAATTTTCGTACATTCATGCATATATACAATATACACTTATACATTTTAAAAATATTTGCATGGGTATATACATTTTTAATACTTTTACAAAATACATAAATAAGACTTAAGAGACCGATTTTTATGAGCGTCAAATTTTCGTATAACTGTGCACACAATAATTATTTAAAGATGGTGAAGAAAATTAAAAGTTTCTTGAAGCGAAATTAAGAAGTGAAAAATAAGAAAAAAAGGAGAAAAAATATGAAAATAAATTACAATTTATGTTTGGATTGAGTTGAGATAAAATTTTAATAATAGAATTAGAGAATAAGTTCTTTAAAATTACGTCAATTACGTCAACCCAAATTGTTGAACAAAATTTAAATCACATTAATTATTGAGTGGGGGGTGCAAAAAAAAACAATGTTGCAAAATGTGTTTGTGTTTAATTTTTATTAAAAGTTTCACTTCATTCACTCTAACAATTAATGTCAAAAATAGACTTTAGCATTATTCATTTTCGTCTTGCACTTAAATTTTTAATTAGGATTCTTAATGGATCTACTATTTAGTAAACGGAATTAAATTAAATACAAATTACTAATCTTAATTCTCGAACTGACTATTATTAACAAGTAGCGACATCTACTTTAGATCTAAAATTTACCAAATAAAAGTTCCTTCTTTTAATTTATTTATAAATTCTCAAATTCTCAAATTTAATGTACAACTAAAATTTCTGTTGTAGAAGTTGTTGCCAAACTTGTTTGATATTTTGCTAGTAAATTTTGTGACAAATTTTTTGATTTGGATTTTTTAAATTCTTATTGTTATTGCACATAACTTATACCTATTCATATTTTATATTTATTAGTATACTTCATTAAATTATACATACATATATGTTTACTAATATTTTACATACGAGTACTGTGTTTTGCATACATATGTAAAAAAAATCTTGATGTAAATAGAATTTCATTTAATATTAAATTAGAGAAATAAATATGACAGCAACAAGTCGTTATAAACAATATTGTAAGTATAAAATATTGAGAAATCCTTATTACTTATGTCAGAAAAAATGAATTTATCATCACTCTCTGACTATAGCAAATCTTTGATTTTTTCACTGTTTATGATACTCTGTGTGTATAACATATGTACAAATGTGTATAACAATTGTATATATTTATATATGCAAATGTTAATAGTATGTATGTACATACTTTATACATTTTGTTTTTCAAAAACAATTAGAACACATATTCTTCTATTGAGATTTCAAGCTCATTTCTATTAGACTTTGTAACTTTTTATTAAGTATACGATTATTATATGTGGGTTTATTATAAAAGTTAAACTGTTATATATTCCTACTTATATATGTCAATTATTATGTCAGAATATTCTCGTAACATGAATATTATGCTTTAATATTAAATATAAAAAAAAATTGAACTTTGAACATTTTATCGCGCACTTTTTTTTATGGTAGAAATAATTGTATAAGAGATTGCAAATATGTGTATGAATTTAAAAATGGAAAATATATTTTTTTTTGTGCTAATTGTATTTAGTTGAGTTATTCAAAAACAAAAGAAGTTGTTATAAATTTAAAAGGTTGTATTCACAAATGTGTTGAAAAGTAAGGTTTCGACTCCAGTGCGAAAATCTCCTTCTTCTCCTGTGAGATCTGGGGAGAAGATAATCCGTCCACCTTTTAATCTGAGTTTATTGCTTTGCTAGAGGCGCAAAAAAAAAATGGTTATTAAAGAGTGGAAGACTCAGATTTTGAATGCAATTTCTGTGTGGGAATCTCTTTCTTTTAATATTACGAAAAAATAGGGTGCCGATCTTTCAATCACAGGATTTTGGTTGGCTACAGTTGAAAAAATCTTTATTTAGGTGTAAAATAGCGAGTTTATAAATATTTGTATCGACCATTTACATCATAGCTTTTGAGATCCTAAATCTTTAATAGTGTCGTTTTTGGGGGCTTACATTAAGTGGAGTATTATACTCCAATGTCATACTCCGACTGGATTATATGAGTATATAAATTAATTATGAATTAAAAACCCTGTTTTAGAATGTTGTAATATACATACATATATACTTATATGTATATTTGTATTCAATGTACTTAGCTAGATTTATTCTTTAAATCTCGAATGGGCGTACGAATTTAAATAACAAATATTACATGAATGGTTATAATTATTTGTCGAATGAGTTTTCTATTACCTTCATACAAAGGAGTGTTTACATCGGGTAATCAACAAATAAAATATTAAATGATAAAATTTAGCTTCAATAAATCATTTCTATTATTAGAATTAATCTGCTAGCTTTTGTATGAAATACTTAAAAATTAGTAAATATAGGTATAACTGCAAATATTATGGTAACAAAAACATGAAAATCTGTTCTTAGAACTATTTTTTTGCTATCTTAAAAATATTTCACAATATAAAATGGAGTAACAATTTGAATTAGAGAATGTACTTATTATTTTATAAGAAAACTAATTTAGCTAAAACTATAGCGCTAATTGTCTGACAAACAACAGTCTTTGCATTGTATAAATGTCAAATTTGACTTTTGCCATTATTTTGTCAAAATTGACAAATTGCTAATTGCTAAATGATATTCAAAATTAAATACTTATGTATGTTTTTTTTAATAACTTTGGCATTTTGTTATTATATAGCATTAATAAATAACGATATGTGATAGTCTGTCTCGCAAGATGACCCCATATTATTTACAGTTTTGTTTTTTGTTTGATAATTTAAAAAAATATTTTTTTAATATCAAATTTATTTATAAAATTTTATTCTATTCTTTTTTGTTCTCTTTCAGATACTGAAACAACTCCGACTGATATTAAATATACAACAATATTTATATAAAAAAGAAAAATAAAAATACATAATTTTTTTACAACAATCATATAACAATAAAAAAAATAAAAAAAATTTAATATCAAAAAAAATTTCGAAATAAAAAAAACATCCAATTTTTTTTATTCACGCGCTGATTGCACAATTTTTCATTCATTTTTTTCCCCGTGTTTTATAACTTATTTATATATATATATACATACATATATGAAATAAAAGTAATATAAGAATTTTTCTATCACACACATATACATACATTTATATGTGTCTATAAGTATATATATATGAATTTGCCGTGTATTGTACAAGCCTACAATATAAAAACAAAAAAATTATTTTAGTACTATTGTAAAATTAAAAATAAAAATATTTGTAAATTATATAAGAAGCCTTGAAATTATTATTGAGTTTCTTTCAATAAATCTAAGAACGCTGAGAACAAGACAATTGGGTGGTGTGTGGTGTTGGTGTCATCAAAAAAAATCATAAAAATTTTAAAAATTTTCATATTTAGTTTAAAAAAAAAAATCATTTTATTAAAAAACAAACAAAAACAAAGGAAATAAAGTAGCAAAATTTTTTGCTGAATTTTCATTTTACTAGAAAAAAAAATTTAAATTACCAAAAACAAAAATTACAAATTATTGCAAATTCAATTCCAATTTTTTTTATTATATTTTACAATAATCACAAAAAAAAAATATTGAAAAAAAAAAACAACTTTGCATTTATAATTCGATTTTTATTATATTAAAAAATCGATTAAGAAATTTTGATTTTGAAAAATTAAATAAGAAACAAAGAGGCAAATAAAATTTTCAAGATGAGACCCAGACTAGAAGGATCGATTTGTGGTAAGTTTTTATTTACTAGATTTTAAATACAAATTACAATTTCATAATAATGGCAGTTTATTCCTTTTCATCAAAAACAAACCTTAAAACCGCCTTTAAACCGAATGTAATTCTAAAACTAAATACAATGACACTGAATAATGGCAAGGAACAAAAACAATTTTTTATTTTACATTTCGGACACGCAAATTTTGATTTTTTGAAATTTATTTTTAAATTGACATTATATATAATATTAAAAGTATTGTTCCGTCCTCCTTTATATTTCCAGCCTATGTCAATTAAATTATTAAATGCAGTATACTGAATAATACTTATCGTCAAAAATTTTACAAAAAGTATATAGAATTTTTTGTATGCACTAATAGATTTTCTCTGCGTTTCGAAAACGCATTTTATACGATTCGGAAAGCGTAACATTGTAAAATTTTCTAAAAATACAATACGAAACGAGTAAAATTTTTTTTTACAATACGGAATACTGCCAATATTATAATAATTAATTAACTTTAATTATAAGTTACGAGTAAAAAAAAAATGCTACTTATTTTGAAATTAAAATTCATTTAGTATTTTAAAATAATGGGGCTCTTCATCTACGAACAATTAATTCAGATTAGCCGATTCCGATTTATATTTACTCTTCGATTTCCTCTCATTGACGCTGACTTTGAATTCGATTTAGACTCCTCGTCTCAGACGCAGTCGATCTAAAAAATAATAAAATTAGTTTAATGAATTCAAATTAAACTAATTTTATTATTTTTTAAATAAACAGTTAAAGGGACTATAATTTTATTGCTCATAAAAGTCGTAAATGATATGAAAATTTTAAAGTTGTTTACCTTTGTGTATCATACATATGTTTGTATTGTAAACGTAGTAAAAATTTTATAATTATAATTAACTTAATCTATATATTAGATTTGCGCATATGTACGCATAAGGCAAGTCTTCCGATTTAAAAATTTTAAATAACAACCGGTCTAATTAATCGAACAATAAATTGCTCAACTTTTTCTTTAAATTTAGGAAATAGCCAATTTTAAATGGGTAAATCCCAAAAATATTTCGTTTTTTTCTTTTAATCGATATCAAGTAATCAATTTATTTAAAAAATATTTTATCATTTTCAAGCACTTGAAATGATTGCCTATTTTGTTATACATAACATTCATAAATATGTACATACATACAAACATATTTCTATTTTCCATATAAGTAAAAAACACGAGTTCTGATCTCGTTTGTTTACAAATTTTATTTACGTCTAAAAATTTAATTTCATATTTTTTTTCGTTTTGCTATCAATTAGTCAGTAGTAGAGGAAAAAAAAGAAACATGTGTTAACACTGAAAACATAAAAGCTTCATACCAGCTCAACAAACAAACAAAGAAGCAAACGAACAAAATAAAAACGCAATAATCGTCAACAATGTGTTTCCATCGATTTTCTAAAAAGCGCTTAAAATTTCTACTAATACTATTGTGTTATTAAAAGCACGTGATTATCTTGATTAAAAAAAAACACAATTACCCATTTAATCAATCAGGTTGTTGGGAGATAAACAAAAAAAAATAGAAAAAAGAAAACAAAATAATGAAAAACACGTGATTTTAGGAATTTAATCGTTTTTATAAAAGTTGTTTGTATAGCTTGTTCAAGCCCGCATTGAATTGAAAAATTATATGTTTGTGATGAAAGCAGCACATTTTACCATCAGTTCAATAAAAATAGAAAATTGCTATCGTGTTAAATATTGTTGAAAAACTGGTTATTATTATGTAGTATTTATTCCAGTATACTTACATGGAAGTATAGTTATAAGCCATTGTTGTTTTTAGAAAGCGCCACAACAATATTGTACTCATTCTATTTTCGCGAATGTGAAATGAAAGTGAATTATTATTAATATATCATTTAATTAGATTAGATTGTAGTCAATCGAAAAAATATTGCGTTTTATATTTTTTTTATTTTGATTTTTAATTTCATATTTTATTTAGGATCACATACAATTATTAACATAATTAACTACAGAGCAGGGTTTGGTACGAAATTTTAATCTATTTTAAGCTTAAATCACTGCCTGGGCACGCAATTCTCACATGCGCACAAGTGGACAAAGAGGTCGAGCAACTTACGGCGGATATACAGCAAGCTGCACTCGAAAGTACTCCTGCAATTAAGTCAAAGAACGTGCAAAGGAGTAATCCTTCTGAAATTGTACAGTTAATTAAAGAAAAAAGAAAGGCTAGGAAAAAGTGGCATATCGCTAGATATCCAGGTGACAAAACAAAAGTTAATCAATTAAACAACAAATTAAGAAAGATGGTTACTGAATTTAAAAACGAGTCCATCAGAAAGTATCTAAGCGAACTGGATAACGATAAAGAAACAGATTACTCACTATGGAAGGCAACCAAAAAAATCCGGCGTCCAAAAATCCAGGACCCGTCAATTAAAAAACCAAACGGCTAGTGGGCGAAAACTGAGAAGAAAAAAGCTGATATCTTTGCTCTTCACTTGAAGAGTGTGTTATGAGAGAAACCAGTTATATTTATAAAAAAGACGTGGTAGAAGTTCCGTTAACAACATTAGCTGAGCTCAAATCTGACATTAATAACATCAGTAACAAAAAATCTCGGGGCTTCGATCTCATCACTGGTGAAATCATGAAGAACCTACCCCACATCGCGTTATTGAGATTCAAAGAAATTATAAACTCCTGCTTTAAGTTAATGTACGTTCCTAGAATATGCAATATGCAGAAATCATAGTAATATTAAAAACGGGCAAATCCCCTATTGACGTCTCGTCGTACAGACCTATATCGCTGCTGCCAATTATGTCAAAAATCTTTGAAAAACTGTTGTACAGAAGATTAGCTCCCACTATTCAACATCGAAATTTAATACCTTCACATCAATTTGGATTCCGGGATGGTCATATGACTATTCAGCAAGTACATCGGGTAACCAATGAAATTGAATCAGCTCTCGAAGCAAAACAAGTTTGTACTGGAGTCTTTCTTGACTTGTCGCAAGCCTTCGATAAGGTCTGGCTGGAAGGCCTGAAATTCAAAATTCATCGTGACCTCCCATTTCAGTATTATGAAATACTAAACTCATACCTGACGAACAGAGAATTCCGTGTAAGATATGGCGGGAAATATTCTGAATTAGAAAACATAAGTGCTGGTGTTCCACAGGGCAGCCTCCTTGGTCCTTTACTGTACTCTTTATACACGAGAGACTTACCTGTGGCGGGTCAGGTCACCACAGCCACATTTGCGGACGATACCGCACTGCTAGCAGTAGCTGACAATGTCAATTCATCAACTGAAAAGGCACACAAGCTGCAGTGGATGACGTTGTACGCTGGCAAAGAAATGGCGCATAAAACATTTCAACACTCCCGATCACAATAGATTCTAAAACAATACCATATTCGAATTCTGCAAAATATCTGGGTATAACTCTGGATGCGAAGTTAAGATGGAAAGAGCACATAAAAATGAAAAAGGAGCAACTAAATATAAAATCAAGAAAACTAAATTGGCTGTTGGGCAATAATTCCGAACTGTCTATCCACAATAAAACCCTAATTTATAAACAGGTGCTAAAACCAATATGGATTTACGGAATCCAACTCTGGGGTTGTGCGAAAAAAACTAATGTGGAAATTATTCAAAGATTTCAAAACAAGATCCTTAGGCAGATTGTTGGCGCACCATGGCAGATTGTTGGCAACCATCAAAATGAGGAAGCGAAGAAACTGATACTCACTGGCAATGAAGTTCGCCGCTTAAAAAGGACGAAGCCACATGAACTGGCTCATCAATAGTTTATAAGTTATATATTTATTAGAGATAAAGGTTTCCTAGTCAAAAAGTATATTTTAGTCGGAACATATAAATAAAAAAAAAACAAAAAAAAAAAAAACTGATGAATACATACATACTTCCGTATGATATACTTATGCATTATAATTCTTTCTAAAAAAATAATTACATGAATTATTTTAAGTATGTAATTTTAATATATTTGAAAAATCTGTCAACATAGTAATTTATTATTGGGAAAATTTCATATGTCTGTTCACGTTCACGTTCAAGTAATCCAGTAACGAATTCAGTTGAATTTAATCTTTGTCCCCCATTTTCTCTTCTTCAAAAAATAAATTAATTTAAAAGTATTTTGTACTTCTCAATACTCAATGTATTGTGTTACTCTTTTGTATTTTTATGAATTTCTAACTTAGTTCACAATAATTGCAATAGGTGTTTGAGTATTAAAAATTATTCTTAATGAAGTTTGCAATTTTCAATAAAATTCAACAATTTATTTAAAATTTAATTTAAATCAATTATTAATTAATCAATTGTATTAAAATACAATTTTAATTTGTTAAAAAAAGAATTGTAATTAAAAATTAAACACAGATGTTGGCGGCGATATTAAGAACTTTTATTTGTTGTTTTAAAACGGAATTGTCAATACTCGTATTAAATTGTGTTTGTATTCATTGAATTTAAATATTTAAATTATTTTGTTAATCAGTGTTGATTGAATTAAATTCATTTTGTAATTAAGTTAATAGCAAACATGATATTTTAGATACAATAAAATTTAAAGATGTTTAAAATTTAAATAGACATGACTGTTTACTACAGACCTGTATTGTACATGGTTAAATAATAATCTTAATAGTAACTTAATGACTGTAAAGCCATTAAGCTAATATCTCGATTATATTGCATCATACACATATTTCTATAATAATTTTATAAATAATTTAATAGATGATTTTATAAATTGAAATTACTTAAAAAATATTTTTCATTTATAAAATTGATCGGAACACGAAAATTAAAGTAATTTATTTAATTTTCTTATTCAATAATTGTCAAATATTTTTACGTAAGTGATTATAGCTTGGCACTTATATAAATTAAATATAAAATTAATATTCCATTGTTAATACTAAAAATAAACAA